AGGATTCGGAACTGCTGTACAGTCCAGTCGGAATGAAGATAATTTTTTAGAAGCAAGGTCAAGTTAAATTCGATATCATCAAGAGGTCTATTTCAACTCTCAGTCCTTCAGCACTAGAACGCTTATCCGCATAGGGCATTTTTGGGTCTATTCATACTATTTTGGTGAAATTCATTCATCATTCCTTCATTGCCTTGTGCCATCTAAGGTGACTTTAAGTGATATCACTTTAATTGATATGTTCCAAAAGACTATGTTCTAAGGGAAGTAATTCCATTTTATAAATTGATTTTTGAGACTACCAGTAGATCTGTTATATGAGCTACATTCACCCTATTTCATTTAACGTGATGAAGGACTGGTTGTTGAATTTTCCCACAGTGTTATGAGAAGGCCCCATGCTTCTGATGAATTTCACACAGCCTTGCTTCCCAAAAGTTATTCCCATCCTGGCAGAAATGGACTTCAGCTTCGACCTCGTCCGTATTTCATCATCACTTCTAGCAAAACTCGAACACAAGGTAAAAACTGGGATGAGAATACCTTTTGAGAAATTCCTTGAAAACATGTGGCATATGCGTATCATTGTGGGAAAATTGAACTATCAGTCTTTCATAACCTCAAGCCAAAAGGGTGAATGTGGCCTTTATTCATACATTGTTGACACTTTTTCACATATCCCAAACGTCTCCTAATGCTGCCTTAATTTGCGTCCAATTTAGGATAACAGCCAGTCCTCTAGGACAACCATGGAGGCGTTATTCCCAACGAGCATTCGGTACAGTTACTGCCGGCAGTCCGTATTAGCCTGGCCGACACTGTGCTACCCGGCTTTAAGGGATATTTTGGCCTCCGCTTCCAACTCTCTCATCTTTCTGCTTCTTCTGCCCGTCCTGTTTGCCATTGGCGCCAGTGGTTTGCCGACAAGTCGGTTCCGTGTGCCAGAGGAAGTGGAGCCGGGCTACGTGGTAGCCAATTCTGTCCAGTTGAATGAGGTCTTTTGGTCGTCGGCCACCGGTGCCACGGCTGTCTGGGCCAACAGGTTGCCTAGCATCGTGAACAGTCAAACACCGGGCGTTGCCGCGTTTGCATTTCAAGCTCAGACCGGCTATGATGGGCCTGGACAACTCAGTTTGGTGGTCGTCGGTAGACTGGATCGTGAGGCTTTGTGTCCCGATGAACGGTCAACTGGAAGGTCGTTGTCGGCTTCGGCGACATGGCAACTGATGAGCACACCACTGCTACCGTTGCCAGGCGGCATCTCTGAGGCGGAAAGATCGGCAGACGAGGCCGGTATGATGCAGGCCAGTCCCGATTGTGTTGTTTCACTGCGCGTGTTACACGCCGACAAGCAGCGCTTCTTTCGTATCGACGTACAGATTGACGATATCAACGATCATGCTCCGGCCTGGCCAATGGATCGGCAGACTCTCGAATTACGCGACGGTGATCCCGAGGGCAGTATGGTTCGTCTGCCGCTTGCTCAGGATCCAGATGCCGGGATGAACGGTCGTCTGGTGTACAGCCTTGACGACAATTATGTGACGCACTATTCAGTACAGGTGAACGGCGAGGTGATGCGCTTGCGCATCAACGATATCTTCGAGCTGAAAAGTGTGCAAGACTCATCCAACAGTCGGTCGGATAAAGGCATTGTCAACCAGGAGTTTGGCGATCGAGTGGAGTCGAGCAAACAACTCTTCCTGCGCACCAGATACAGCCTCGACCGCGAACTCAACCCAACCGGCTTCGAGTTGACCCTGATCGCCCACGACTCGGGACTGTATAAATCACTTGCGGGTCAGATTAAACTGTTGCTACGACTGACCGACATCAACGACAACGCTCCCGTCTTCACACAATCCGTGTATCTGGCCGAATTGGCCAATCAAGCGCCGGGGCTGGTGCCCGAGAACACTCGAGTGGGCAGTCTGCTGCTACGTCTCTCGGCCAGGGACCAGGACGAAGGGGAAAACGCTCGTATCACCTACCGTCTGGTATCGGCAGCTGGGCCTAGCAACAGTGGCGGAGAGACAAGCACCAGTCGTGGCGGAGCCAGCGTTCACGGCGAGGCTGGAACGGGGCTGATACAGCACTTTTTCGAGGTGCATCCCGAGTCGGGCGAACTGCGAGTGGCTCGTCGCCTTCAGGTGGACCGGATCGTCGAGGAGTCTGCAGGCCGAGGAGGTGGTCAGATGCGTCTGCCTACGGAACCGATCACTTTTGAGGTGGAAGCGGTTGATGGCGCCCTGGCGCCCTACATGAAGACCGGACACGCTAGCGTTCGACTTCAGATCACCGACGTCAACGATGAGACGCCGAGGATCCGAGTTCACGCCCTCCGACCGGCCCCCGAATCGCCCCGAGCCCCAGTCAACCAGATGCCCTTGACCCCGGGTCAAAGAGTGGCCCAAGTCGAGGCCGGCCTGTTGGAGAATGAACCGGCCGGGCAACTGATCGCCTTGGTCGAGGCAAGTGATCCCGACTTTGAGGGTCGTGACATGGTCACCTGCGAGTTGTCAGGCGGCCAAGCAGACGACTTTCGCTTGGTTCCCCAGACCGACGCCGGCCACCTCGGCGGTGCAGCCTCGGAGGCCGGTTCCATGAGTCCGGCCAGCCCTTCCGAGCTGACCGGTCTCGCCGGCATCGCCACCTACCACCTGGTCACCCAGCGCCCTCTGGACAGAGAGACAAAGTCGCAGCTGCCCGTCTACCTGGTCTGCCAGGACTCGGACCAGCAGACGTCTACTCAACTTATCCTCGTCGGACTCATCGACGTCAACGATCGGGCGCCCGTTTTCTCACGGCCCGTATACACCTTCTCAGCGCTGGAAGAGGCAGGTCAGACGGCAGCATCGTCATCGACATTCTCGGTCTCGGGAAATCTGACCCGAGGGCAGAGCTCATCTGCCCCGGCGGGCCGAGTCTGGCAGACGCAGTCGGGCCGGGCTTTCGTATCGGCCAAAGACGCCGACGTCGGCGTGAATGCTCGTCTCGCCTATCGTCTCGAGCCGGTCAGCATCGATGCTTTCGACGAGACCGACTCGTCTGTAGGGGAAAGTAGTCATCTGTTCCACGTCGACGCGGACACCGGAGAGCTGTTCATTGTCGGCCGGCTCGATCGGGAGATCACGGATCGGCACATCTTCTTCGTGGTAGCACAGGACTCCGGCAAGCCGTCCTTCAGCTCCACCGCCAGCGTCATCGTTCGAGTTCTCGATGTCAATGACAACGCTCCGTTTTTCGTATTAGATCGAGCCGCAGAAGACGAAGCCGGATTGGATGATGTGGATCCCTTCACGCCGGCCGGACTCGACACGATGGCCAATGAGCTTATGCTACCCGAGACCGGCATGCTTCAGGACGCCGTCAGCCTGGCCGGTCGTGGATACCGATTCTCGGTTGGGGAGAATCGAGCCGTAGGCACGATGGTCGGTCGGGTGGTCGCTGTCGATCGAGACCTGCTTCCAGCCTCGCCGTCGGCAGTTCAGTTACGCCTGCCGGACTCGGAGCAGACGTCCTACGCAGAAGGGGAAGGAGAGACAAAGACGGCCGGCCAAGTGGTGCAACAATTGTCGCAGACTCGGACAGAAGAGAATCCGAGTCGAAATGACCAGATAGCAGCAGCCGGAAACGAACAAAGAGACCTCACCTACGCTTTAGGCGGCGGGGAAGCCAAAGACTTTTTCCGAATAGATTCAAGAACCGGAAAGATTATAACCAGGTGAGACGTACTTGTATCATTTTCCTTTAAAGCTCACCCTTAAATGTAATTTGACATTTGATTTCAGAGGAAAAGTTGATCGGACAATTAAATGCCACAAGTTGACCTCATCGGAAACTGGGCAAAGCGTAAAGACATACTTCACTAAAAATGGTATCTTTAAATTAACTCAAGACAAAAGCTGGTAGACTTTGAACTGACTCCTTTCTAATACCTAATTTAGCAGCCCATTATTTGGTTGCTTAATGCATGCTTGTAGAGGAATGAAGATGATTTACATAAACAAAATGTAAAGATTTATTGTAATGGCGCATGATATTATCATTGATAGTATATGGATGGAGGGTCTAGATCAATCCTCTTGGGAGCGAGAGAATTCGGACTCATCAAACAACTACAATTTGGCCTACGGCCTTGCCTCCTGTTTGGGTGCAGCCAGAAAAGTAATCTTCACTTGAAATTATGCATAACTTGTGTGATGTAATCAAACACATTGGCTAGCGTGAAATCGCAGAGTTACAGAGCTCTGGCTGAAATAACCACCATATTTATGCATAAATAATGCTGCTTTCTACTGGTTTCAATTCCCCCTGCCCTTAACCATCCGTTCTGTTAAGTACGCCTAGATTCAGCATATGCTTGTAACCAAGATAGATCACATTCGGGTCTCGAAGTTGATGCGAGGCTTAACTCTTGCCGAGTTACATATACAGCTCAGTCATACGAGAAGTCCTCATTGGTCTTACCAATCAACTTTTCTTATGCTATCTTAAATTATCTATTGTATCTAAGCGCTTCGTGTAACCGTCACTTTTAGAGCCTACATATTCACATACCACATCCTTGGGAGGGCCTCATTATGTCCTGGAAGTAAGATTGTAGATGTACAAAGTTCCAATTCGGTTGTTTTTACCGCCGACTTTATGCTTAATTTTTAGTGGGCAACTTCACACTACTTTAATCGGACCTGTGACATTAACTATGCATCAGCTATGGAGATATTGTTGATAAAGAAAAATAAGTGGATAATTTGGTTCCATATTATTTCCTAATAGGCGAGCCGAATACTAAGGGCCTAGTAACACATACCTAATTTTTCTGTAAAAGTTTATATCACCCATCCTTATGAGGAAATTATAGTTTGTTAAAAATCCAATAAACAATAGGGAAGCCTCAGCGAAAACAAATACACTTATCTTATGCACCAGTCAATAGTTAAGAAAAAGTATTTAATTTAATTATAATTTAAATCAGTTGGATAAAAAATATTTACATTAAATGGTAAAAGCCTTGAGTAGTACTCTATTTTTATGTCAACATAAACCTCAAATTTCAAGCCTAGTTAAGAGCAGTGACCCCATTATCATAGAATGAGGCGGTCACGCATAACCTTATCAACATATAAAAGTACATACATACGAATATTGATGGTTGTTTCATTAACTTGGCAAGTCAATTATCATAAAAAAACTGGGCAGATCATCCACGATCAACATCGCAGACTCGCTATTGCAAGCTGTGATTATGCAAAGGTATTTCTAAATAATTATCAAATGTTAGCTCTCCCAAGGGCTTAATCTGGAGGGCACGTAGAGGGGGTGAGAAACGAGTTGGTGGCCAATTTTCCTGTCGCTTGCCGTTGAAGCGAGCCTGTTTTAGGGGACAACTTTAGAGTTGATATCTTTTGACGATCTGCCCTAACTTTCCGACCGTCTTGTCTCTAGTGAACCTTGCTCAAACTTGGGAGCTACCAATTTTTGGTGCCTATTGTGGATGTCATAGTAAGGGATGTGATGACCCCAGATGACCTACCGTCTTTTGCTGCTTCTTCTCGAGATCACATTGGCTCATCCTTGTGCCCTAGTAACCCAGGCGTTCTACATTTGAGCATTCTTTTCTACACTATCTCTACAGTTGTGTGGAACCATATTTAGCTAGAGTCGTCTCTTGTTCAGGCCTCAACCTTTGCAGTGTTAGATGACCCCTCGAGGTTGAATGGGTGCAGGCATATGATTACGCAATGCAAATAATGGTGTTTGGCATAAAAGATAGGCTTCGAAATTATCAATAAAACTTGAATAACAGTTCCAATCACCTTAGGCCGCATAAGGTGATGAAAAACGGATAATATAATGAGTAGGCCTGAAATTTCCATTGAAGTTCACTTAGCCTTGCTTCCTCAAAACTACTGTCATCCAGGCTGGACTGAACTTTTGACCTCGCCTAGGTCTCCTCAACACCACCAGCGGAAATCGAACCCAGATAATGCTTAGAATGCCCCTGGGTCACAGGGCAGACTATCAAGCATGACCCTAAAAACCATACGTACATTTGTACGTAAATACAAATATTTATCATATTTCCATTAATTAAACACGTTAATATTTTTGAATAAAGTAGCAAATGTGTATTTTTCCCTTACAATTTACTACGTTACACTATTCATTTAAAGTATGTTTATAAATTATCAATTATTTATCGATTGATTATGAAGAGTGCAAAGGGTGCATTGATGATAGATGCTGGTAATTGCCTACGGCGAACATCGTCACTTGGGGTTGTACACATCAAACTTACTTAGGCCCCATATTTTCGGCATAAACTCGTAAGCCGGAATGCTTTTTTCTCTCTGTATACTCCACAATTTGACACTTGGCTTTTATGCATTATAGAAACATTGATAGAAACCTTAAGCAAAGATAGTGAGCTGTAAAACACGGTCTAGTTATCAACTTACTCATTTCTTTTGTTTTCATATAACTGCCTAAAAGATGCTAGTTTTTCTCTTTCAATTTTGGCTAATTTTTATACAAAAATATATTTTTTTATTACCCTCTAAGTAAAACATTAGGGAAATTCGGAAGACGAGTCTAGACAACAGTCTGATTGTCTTAATTTTTGACACCTAAATTGCTCTAATGCTACATAATATGCATTATATTAATCAAATTCGAAGGTTTTTATAATGGTCGCCAAAGTCGCTTTCCATCGGTAATGCTACCCAAAATTGACAGCCTGATTATTATCTCCTAACAAGAATATACCAATATATGCGAAGAAAAGTAGGGTTTTGATGTATCTCTTGTTTCATAATTGTTGAGCTTACTTCCATTTCGAGTGAAAGTGTTGGGTGAAGAGATTCGAAAATCGTTCCACCAAAAGACGAAGGCGGATTCCTCTTGACCAGCTGTCGATTGGCTTTACTGGAAGATTCATGCTGACGCTGTTT